TTAACAAATATTGAAATTACGATCTATCGCTCGTACATAAAATAAAAGACGACAAGTCTTTAAGATATTAAATATATAAGTAGAATTATTCATATTTTGCCGGAGAAATTACATAAAGTTATCACATTCGAAAAATCTATGAGCAAGAGGAGCTCTAGAAATGCCCATAGACAGCGAGAAGCGTAATGGAAGAAAGACGAGACAAGGGGTCGCCGAGGGTAGTTCCGGGACTGCCTAGCGGAAAGTCTAAGGGGACGATGGGGCGGTAAGTTGACGGCTGAAGGGAGCGTCGACCAATGTCGCTAAGACGCAGATCTAATTACCGACGCACGAGTAGGTGCGCACCCGGCTGGAGGAACGAATCCCCCGCGCGAGAGGGAAACCTACGACGAATAAAGAGCAGGGATGTTGCCCGTCGTGGCGGGCAATTAGGCGCGCGTCGGCCGCGTCGTCCCTCCCATCTTTTCCGCCTCCTTTTTCTTCCGGAAAGTCACTCGGTTCCTTGAGAATTCCCCGCCGGTGTTATTCCACGCGAGCATTCTCGCACCCCATCTTGTTAGACCGTAGCTCAAGGGCCTGACATTCCCAATCCTCCCTTAACCCTTTCATGGCCGAATCAATTTTTCTATTTCAAGCTTTCGTTAATATAATGTTTTTCCTTTCAATAATAGAACGCATGTTAAATCGTCGAGTCTTTTTCAATTTCGCAAGTGGAACTTACGTGCCACGAGAGGACTAATACTTGTGGCAGATGCACGCAGGAAAATTTTGGCGATAAACTAAAGGAGTGTAAATATACGACGGTATTAAAACCGATTGTAATCTGTGGTGCAATTTAATTAAGTGCAATTCTTTCGCGACTATATCAATTACTAAACGGAATTTTATCGACGTGACTCGCCGTTATTTCTGCCTCTTGTTTTTGTTTTTTTTTTAAATAACGTGTACTGTAACAACGTGAAAAATGCGCGTCTCATTCTACGATCGATTCACCCTGTAGAACGCCACATCGATGCAAAGGCCCGTTCCACGTCGATAGTTAACTTCGCGTCCAATGTTAGCATTTCCGTCGTTAAGTCGAAGATATATGTTTGAGAAGGTGGTATATCGCGGGCCCCGAGACAAACCGCGAACATAAAACTTCCCGACTGCCTTCCGCGAATAGGCAGCCCTGAGAGATCCCCGGGCTTCTCCCCTCACAGTGTGATCCCACTCGAATCCTCACGCCTCCGATCGCCACCGCTCGTCCCAAGGACCCTTATAAACTGGCATAAGCTCGCCCGGTTTCTACACCGGCCCGACTAATTGACTGACGGTCAATATAGCAATTTAACCCAGCTTGCCACCAGCTCGTTTCCCGCTTTTTATTCTCCTGCCTCCCCTCCCGCCGGTCCCCTCCCCTTTCCGTCTATGCCCCCTGCGCTCAGGTAATCTTAACTCTTTCGCGGTTTTATATTACTCAAGTATTTGTGTGCGTGCGTGCGTATGCGCGCGCGCGCGCGCTCTTATCCTTTTATTTGTACGATGTGTTGCATTGGGTCGCTTTCTTGTTATCCGCGATTGAATTTGTTTACCCACAAAGAGGCTCGCGAGCGGAAATGTTGTACGTGTACACGTGTGTTAAGGCTTACGTTTCACCTAGCCGATTACTCCTCGCTGCGTTTTTATATTCCCGCACCAATTGAGAAGTTTTACGTTCAGGCCTTTTACTCTTTTCTCTCCCGGCGTTTCCGAGTTCGTGATCCGTGCCGCGTATATAGACGTTTTTTCCTTTATTCGCGATCTCCAGTCACTTGTTAAATAACGTCGGTTTACCGCAGGATAGATAGTTGCATCGATCTCACTAATATTCTCGCCAATTTTCTTTCTCTTCCCTCTCCCCCCCCCCTTCTCGCTCTTTCTCTCTCAAATAAAATGTTTTCTTATAAATGAAAAGTGTAAAAAGTAACGGACTTTGCTGGGTGACAAAAATTTACCGCTTGGAAAATTGTATCTTTCGCAAAACAGCGACGAGGTCTTTGAACTTTTCGAACTCGTGTCTCACTTGGTACTTTTCGTCATTTCATAGGGTAAAGGTAGGTATTATGGCCATAGTTTTGATTTGAGGTCATAATTTTCAAACCGCTGGTTTTTTTATTCTGTAACTTTCTGAAATTCTAGTGTATTTAATAAGCTTTGATGACAAAATGTTTTGATCAATTAAAATCTATCCATATTCGAAGAAAAAAGAAGAATCTGAAAGTATGCGTTTTGGCCATATTAAATTTGGGGTGG